AATGGGAGTCCAGGCTGTGAACCACTGATCTAAGGGAAATGCATTATCTTGGTTTAAATCCCAAGAAAGCGATGCTCCTATCAAATCAATTAGGATATCATGCCGTCCAGTAATTACAACTGGAAGAGGATGTTGGGGAGGTTCTCCACCGCATGTAATCAATAACAGTGTTGGAAGTGCTTCCTGCCCTACATCTCTGGGTCACCCTTAATGCACCTGGCCTTGATGCTGAAACAGGGACACCTGGCAGGTGTGAGGTTGGTCAATCCCCAGTCATTTCCAATTGGGGCAGTCCCGCTGGATGAGAAAGTAAAGCACGTGGGGGTGCCTGGGTGGCTCAGTCCGTTAAGCCTCGGACTCTTGATCTCAGGGTAATGAGTTCAAGCCCCACGTTGGGGGGGCTCCATGCCCAGCATGGAGCCTACTTAAAAAAAAGAAAGAAAGAAAGAAAGAAAGAAAGTGCATGGACTATTAAATACTCACAGCCTAAGTGGAGTGGACTGACCGTATTGGAATATATGAATACGTTATAAGAAATGATAGGATTTTCCATTATGCATTTCAGCATTCAGTAACTGGTACAGTTAATACAATTTCCTTCACAGGGGCCGTGTGCTCTCTGAGATTTGCTTCCTTGATGCATTTTCTGGAATATGGCATATCTCCTGGGCTCTGAACATGTTCGACCTAGAGGCAGCCACCTCTAGTTTAAATCCACTAAATTCACCTTTGCCAAGGAGAACACTGGGGTGGCAGGTGGACAGGGGAAGTTTTCAGGTAAGGGGTGCACACCCGTGTCGGCTTTGAGCTGTGCCACCCCAAACAGGTCACCTGACTTCCCTGTTCCTTGTCCATTAAATGCAGTGGTAATGGTGGTTGCAGGCATTAGGGATTTCGCTATGCAGGGAATTTTCATCCTAAAAGACACTTTATCCTAGAAATGGGATGTTCTTTTCTTTAAAATAGATCTGACCCTGGGACCCTCTCCTGGAAGCTGAGAGGTTTCTACTGTGGAGCCTCTCCTGAATCACCGGGGGGTGCACAGGAACCCAGGGGGCTCATCCACCATCTAGAAAACAGGGTGGTCCCCATCTCTGGGCCCTCATGGCTGTTGCTGACATCCTAAGGACTGATGGCTGTGTGGGGCCCATGATAAGCTTTGGCACAAGAATCTTTGCTGATATTCAGGGCCCAGGCTCTACCAGGACTCCGTGGCCAGGCCTCTCTGAGCTCCTGCCCCTCTAGGAGAGGCTCCAGGTGCCCTCCTCCCTCATCTTCCCTGCTCCAGAGACTCTTTCCACACCCTTTTTCATGGCTGGAGTGACCACCTGCCCAGTTTGCCTGGGACTGCCACAGTTTTCGCCCAGAAAATAGGGTGTTCTGGGAAACCTCTCAGCCCTAGGCAAACTGGGCAGGTGGTCATCCCACCATGGCCCACTTCTGTTCCTCTTCTCCACCTTCCCCTTTAAGTCCCCACCCCCACCTTCATCGCCTCAGTGCTTCTGGGCTTTTACTGAAGCCTGGACAAGGCGCTGAGGCCACTTCTGCAACCTCCTCTCCTAGAGGGGAGGACTGGAGCTGCTAGTGAGCCTCATGGAACAGGGAGGGGAAACAGAGGCATTTGGAACCCTTGGCACTGTCTCAACAAGTCCTGCCCCATGGAACAAACCTGGGTTTCTAATGGGAGGGTTAACCAATGCGGCTCCCATTCCTGTCCCCTGGTGCATACACACACCTGTCGCCACATCCTGCTGATGGTGGAGAACTAAGCTCACGGCCTTGCTTCCTTCTCAACTAGGATTCCTAGAGGGCAGGATCTCTGCCTGTTTCCTGTTGTATCCCCAACCCCACCCACAAGTGCCTGGCATAAGGTAGGTGCTCAGTAAATGCAAATCCAGGATGGGCGCCTTTGTTCTAATTGCTCATGGAACAGTCTGCTCTTTTATGTCCTGTTATTGATCTCCATCTGCCATAGCATACTCACTAGTGTGGGTATTTGATTCATATCTGCCTCTCCCCCTAAACCAGAAGCTCGGCAAGGTTGGATACCTCACCACTGTGTCCCCAGCACATGCAGTAAGGGCTAAATATGCACATACGCTGTGAATGTACATTCAGATTTAACTGCCCCTGCCACCAAATGGTGCCTCGTGGAATCAAGGGTGGCGTGGAGTGCTTTGTGGTGGATGCCAACTGATTAGACCCTTTGAGGTCCCCAGCCCTCTCCAGGACCCTGGTGAGCGTGGGCAACTTGAACACGTGCATGCTGCTGGAAGGCAGAGCCTGAGGCCAGAGTCGGCCACAGGGAGCTGGAGCCCTGGAGGAGGCTGGGGCTTAGCCAGCCTAGCAATTGCCTTCAAATCAATTTACATAATTGGCCTAGGTTTTCCTGTATTAATCATCCCTTATGACATCAAAAATTAAACACAGGCATTTAATACAAAAGCTTTTCCCTCACTTTGTTGAAATCACTGAGCTCGCTCACTCCAGAAGATCCAGCTACCTGGGCTGTGGGGTTTGACGCCTCTCTGCTCCTGCCCTGCTGTAGACAGGAGGGTTGGGGCTGGGGTGGGAAGGACGGGGGGCTCCTGAAGAGAACGGAAGCCGCAGCCCACCCCTCCCTTTGCTTGGCTGACTGGTTCGTAAGGATTGCCAGGTTCCATGCCCTTGGGTGCTCCTGACCCAGCAGGGATGAATGCTGGTGTGGCACCTGGGTGGGTCTAGGGGTTTGGCTGCCAACTCCACTCTTTGTCCCTGAATGCTCTTGGCCAGGTTGCTCCATTTCTCCAAGCCTCAGTTTCCCCACCTGTGAATGGTGCTAACGATGTCTACCTCTGCTGGTAGGTCGGTACCAGCCCACAGTAAGCGCCACCAGCAGCTATTCTCAGCTTGAGGGCAGGGCTGCCAACATTTCTCAGCTGCCCACTATGGGTCAGACCCTGGGCTCCCATAATCCTTCCAGCTGGTCAGTATACCAAGCAAGGATGGTCATCCCTATTTTACAGACAAGAAACTTGAAAATGTGAGCCAAAGTCAAGTGACGTTCTAGTAAATGGCAGAGCTGGGATTCGAACTCAGGTTGGTAAGATTCTAGATGCTGGGGTCCTCACCGCTTCACTAGCATTTGTGAACGGGTTTGTCCAATCTACTAAACCACAATGGCTCTGAGGGCAGCAGCTGTATTTCATTCCTTCCACCCTTCCACTGCCCCTCACGCTGTGCGCACTGCTGGACACTGTTGGCACATACTAGTAGCCTGTTATAGAGGAACAAATAAACGAGGAGGGCCGGACATCCTGGGGAGGGCAAGAGTGGCTTCTTAACAACAGGTGCTTTCGTGGAGGATGAAGGAGGAGGTGGGTCTGATGGCAAAGCCGTCCATGGCCTCTCCCCTGCATTCATCCTGCCATGCGGATGCTTAGACATGACTGTAGCAAAATGAAAAGGGATCAGCTCACTCCCAGACATGCTTGTCCCCTGCCAAGGACATCTTGGGTCAAAGATCTGGACATGAATTGCTCCTCATCCTAAAGAGAAGCTGAGTTCCACCTGTCACTCCCGCCACCAAAGCGAGCCCAAGGCCAGATGGCGGATGAATGCTTTAAGCTGAATATTTTCAAACACATTGTGTAAACCATCATACCAGGGAGGAGAAATGACAGAAGGTCTTTTTAAAGCTCTTTTGGGGGAGGGGGAAGAGCAGACAACCACCCTGGGCTCCGTCCTCTTTTTCAGGTTACGGCCACATCTACCCTGTCACCAGGCTCGGCAAATACTTGTGCATGCTCTACGCCCTCTTTGGCATCCCGCTGATGTTCCTAGTCCTCACGGACACGGGTGACATCCTGGCCACCATCCTGTCCACGTCCTATCATCGGTTCCAAAAACTCCCATTCTTCCCACCTCCCCTCCCCTCCTGGTGCTCCCAGCTGCTCTGCAGAAAGCCGGCCACCAAGCCCGTGGGCGAGGTTGTTCCGAGGATCGTCATAGATGCCCAAGAGCTTCCGGGCCCCAGCCCTGGCCCGTGTCCATCCACCCCAGGCAGAAACACGGATCTGTTCGAGAGACTTCTTGCACGAGAGAAGCAGAACACGCTGCACCTGCCCCCGCGGGCCGTGGAGAGGAGTAACTCGTGTCCCGAGCTGGTGTCGGGGAGGCTCTCCTACTCGCTCATCAGCAATCTGGACCAGGAGGGACGGCAGGTGGAGAAGCTGGACGTGCCCCTCTCGGTCATCGCCCTCCTTGTGTTCGCCTACATCTCCTGTGCGGCCGCCATCCTCCCCATCTGGGAGAAGAAGCTGGACTTTGAGAACGCCTTCTATTTCTGCTTCGTCACACTGACCACCATTGGGTTCGGGGATACCGTTTTAGAACACCCCCACTTCTTCTTGTTCTTCTCCATTTATATCATCATTGGGATGGAGATCATGTGCATCGCTTTCAAGTTGGTGCAAAACAGGCTGATTCACATCTACAAAAATCTCATGCTGTTCTTTGCAAAAGGGGTATTTTACCACCGTGGTAAAAAGTGAAATCTCCACCATCTCTTGTGTGACAAACACCAGCTGAGCTGGTTTCCTCGTGTTGTCTTTTGGGAGCCAGGGTAGTTGGAACTGGTGTCCCTGCAGCCTGTCCCCTGAGACCTTGGGGCTTAGAGACAAATCCTGCATGAGGGCTGATTTTGGTCCTGAGGCCCTGCAGAAACGTGGCTAATGCCCTTCATATCAAGACGTCAGAAAAAAACTATCACCATCCTCCAAAGCCCGGTTAATTGGAGCCCCGCCTTCATTTTTCAAACCTCCCACCTGATGTAGATGAAAGCACCTTATGAATGTCACAGCTTTTCTTGAGTCACCAGAAAAAAAATTACCATTGCTCTTGCAATTTGTACTTTCAGCTCAATTAACATCTTCCCGAGCTACTCCCTGTTCACCCTTGATGAAACAGGGTGAGTCTGAACCACCTCTTTTCTTGAATGTGCGCATTCATGGACGTGTGCAAGGTCAGCCCAATCCCGGCCCACCCAAAATGCACTGAGGCCAGGGTGGGATTGTCACCTGTGTTCTCAGGGGCCTGAGCTATTTCGACAGCCAGATTCTGTGTGGAGCAGTGTTGTCACTAGGGTGGAGGGCTGGCGCCTCCTGAGAGAGTAGGCGTGTGCAAATGTAGATGCCCGGGTGGATGGTTGGTACAGGAGAGGGTTGGCGCTCAGTGAGGGGGATACTCTCCTGAGCTGTTCCTGAGTTGGCACGTGAATGAGCTGAGCTGTGTAGCAGATGCTGTAGATGCCCCACTCCTACGCCCTGGGACTCCAGCTTCCTTTGCCTGAGAACTGTCCCTAGTCACTAAAGCACGAGCCTATGCGGGGCAGTCTAGAAGTGCCAAGGGGTGAGTGCTCCTGGGCGTACCCCTCAATCAACAACTGACAGGAACAAGTGGATGGATGGTGCCCAGCTGCTTGCCCCTCCCATGGGCTGACTCTGGGTCGTATCCAGCACTGTCTCGCCGAGTTCCCCAGTGGAATGGAGCCTCAGTTGCTCATCCGCTTCCCCTGTCTTGGTCTCCTTCATCTCAGTTTCATTTCTCCATTCCTCTTGGGATCACCCCCAAATGACCCACTTGCACACAAATCCTTGTCTCAGAGTCACTCCTGGGAAGCCCAGCCAGGGAGAGGATGTAACAAATCGGTGTGTGGACAAGAGTCTTCCTAGTTCCTCGGTTGGTTATGAGAAATGTCTTAAGAGAATAAACGTTTCTGGAAAACTTCTTCGAGAGAATCTTGGAAATCCGGTGATTCACAAAATGAGTCCCTGGGTAAGTGGTGAACTTTGCTCCAGGGTATAGCACAAAAATTGCAAAAACCAATAAAAAGCGCCAGGAGGTTCCAATTAGAAAGGAAAGGAAGCACCTACCTTTTGAACCTTTTCTATTCTGCCTTAGGTTCAGGTCACTGCCAAGGGGCCAGCTCTCAGGGGGCCTCGGGTCTTCTTTTCTGGATCTTTCCTCCTCCTCCCCACAACTATGAGGTTCCTGCCCCTTCAACACTTTAAGACCTGCCTCAGGAAAGGGAATTGGCAAGGTGTAAGCAAGAACCACTGAGAGACAGAAAGCCCTGAAAGTGGGATTTCAGGCAGCAGCTCACCAGGATGAGGGTTTTTATGGGGTTTCTTGACCTCCCTGAAATCACAGTGGCCCAGGTGCAGCAAAGCCCCTTGAACTCAAAGGTCAATCCAGACCGGCCACTCAAATGAGAGCACATGACCGGACCAAAGGGCTATTCAAGGTTCATTCAGTTCTACCAACATTTATGGAGTGATTGTTACTTTCCACTCTCAAAGAGGATTCCAAAGATGAATCAGGTACATCCTAGAAGCATGGAGGTAATTACAGGTGGTTTCGAATTTCTCAGCCACTTCCTTCTGGAGGCAATAGCAAGTCCTGTTTGAATGCAAACATGCAGTTTGTCAGGGATACATATTATGTAAATTAAGCGTCATGATCATTTGCTTATTGCACTTGCTAGTGGGTGTTCTTCTGCGGTTCTGGGGAAATGACCCAGCATGCCTTCCTGCTCCTCATTTCTTGCCCATATGCACCCCATATTCCAGCCACCTTGAGCTATTTATTTCTGCATCCCTGTGCAGGAATATGAATTCATTCCTCCAAGGATTTGCTAGGGGGTTCTCAACCTTGCCTATACAATAATACCCAAGGGGCTTCAAAAAATTCATATGTCTCCCTCCCCTCTTCAAGAGACTCAGTCATTGGTCTGGAGTGCCACCTGGGTAGTGGGGTATTGGGGTGATCGAGTATGTGGTCAGAGTTGAGAACCAGCTGCTCTCTTGGCCTGAATGCCTTTCTCTCATCCAGGATAGATGAAGACTCATCTTTGAGGTTCAGCGCACATGGCACCTCCTCTGGGTAGTGACCCCTGACTCTTGGGAGTGATCACCACAGTCTCCCCCACACTCTCACTGCACCCACTCTAATCCCTTCCTTAGTTACAGTACTGTAGCTGGGCCCTCTCCAAACTCAGGTCTGCCCTGCTAAAGATGGTGTCTTTTTCCATCATCATTGTTTTTTAGATTTTATTTAATTTAGTTACAGTACTGTAGCTGGGCCCTCTCCAAACTCAGGTCTGCCCTGCTAAAGATGGTGTCTTTTTCCATCATCATTTTTTTTTAGATTTTATTTAATTTATTTGACAGAGAGATACACAGCGAGAGAGGGAACACAAGCAGGGGGAGTGGGAGAGAGAGAAGCAGGCTTCCCGGGGAGCAGGGAGCCCGATGTGGGGCTCAATCCCAGGATCCTGGGATCATGACCTGAGCCGAAGGCAGACGCTTAACGACTGAGCCACCC